TACCACTACTACTACTACTACTACTACTAATATTACTACTACTACTACTCCGGCTACTACTACTACTACCACCACCACAACTCCTACTATTACCACTACTACTACTACGACTACTACTACTACTAGTACTACTACCACTACTACTACCACTACTACTACTACTACTACTACTACTACTACTTCTACGACGACTACTACTACTACTACTACTACTACTACTACTACGACTACTACGACTACGACTACGACTACTACTACTACTGCTACTACTACTACTACTACTACTGCTACTTCTACTCATACTACTACTACTACTCATACTACTACGACTACTTCTACTGCTACTCCTTCACGTACTGCTTCTACTACCGCGACGACTGCTGCTCCTACCACTGCTACTACTACTACTACTACTACTACTACTACTACTACTACTACGTCTGCCACTACTACTTCTACGACGAATACTACTAATACTACCACTGCCACTACTACTACTACTACTACTACTACTACTACTACTACTGCTACTACTACCACTACTCCTACCACTACTACTACTACTACTACTACTACTACTACTACTACTACTTCACTACTACTACAACGACGACTGCTACTACTACTACTACCACTACTACTACTACTACTACTACTACTACTACTACTACTACGGCTACTACTACTACTGCTACTACTACCACTAGTACTACTACTACGACGACTACTACTACTAGGGCTGACCGGGGGATGGTGGCCGGGCAGTTCGTCCGTGAGACGACTTAAGGGTGGTGATGGAGGTTTCGCGTTTCCAACGGCTTAACAAACAATACAGAGATTGTGGGTGAGGGTGTGGGTGTGGGTGTGGGTGTGGGTTTTCATGTATGATGTATGATGAGGTATGATGATGTATGGTGATGTATGGTGAATTATGATGATGTGTGATGATGTTTGATGATGTATGATGATGTATGGTGATGTATGATGGTGTATGGTGATGTATGATGGTGTATGGTGATGCATGATGATGTATAATGATGAACAATGGTGCATGACGGTGTATGATGATGTATGGTGGCGCATGATGGTGTTCGATGATGTATGAAGATGTATGATGGTGTATGATGATTGGTGTATGGTGTTTGGTTATGTAAGCTGTATGGTGATTAATGGTGTATGATGCTTGATGTTAGATGTTTGATGTTGTATGATGTTTGGTGTTTCATGATTGATGTTGAATGATGTTTGAGATTTGATGTTTGATGCTGCGTGTTCAATGATGTTGATTGATGTTTTGGTGCCTGATGTATGATGTTTAATGATGTTTGGTGTTTGATGTATGATGTTGGATGATGTATGATGTATGTTGAATGAGGTTGGATGTTTGATGTTTGATGCTTGTTGATGTTTGATGATGTTTGATGTTTTGTGTTTAATGATGGTTGGTCTTTGATGTGCGATGTTTGATGCTTGATGTTTGTTGGTGTATGATGTTTGATGATTCATGTTCGAAGTTTGGTGATGTATGATGTTTGATGGTGTGTGACGTTGCATGTCTGATGTTTGGGAATGTATGGTGTTTGATATGTGATGATGTATGATGTTTGGTCTTTGATGTTTGACGACGTTTGATGTTTGGTGATGTATGACGTTTGATGTTTGTTGTCTGCTGTTTGATGCTGTATGATGTTTGCTGTCTGTTGTATGATGTTTGGTGGTGTGCGATGTATTACGATGCATGGTGTTTGATGATGCCTGATGATGTATGATGTACGGTGTCTGATGGTCTAGTATGAAGTATGGTGTTTGATGATGTAGTATGATGTATTGTGTTTGATGGTGTATTATGATGGGTGGTATATGGTGTACGATCATGTATGATGATGTATTATGATGTATGGTGCATGGTGTTGCATTATGAATATGATGTGTGATGCCTGATGGCGTGTGATGTTGTATGATGTATGATGTTTGACGGTGTATGATGTTTGATGGCGTATGATGTTTGATGGTGTGGGATGATGTATGATAGTTGACCGTGTACGGTGTATGTACAATATTGTATGACGCATGATGAAGTATGGTGTATTTATAATGTTGTATGATGCATGGTGGTAGGGTGTATGTAGACTGTTGTATGGTGCATGATTATGTGTGGTACATGTATAATGTTGTATAGTACATGGTGGTGTATGATGCGCGTATCATGTTATATGATGAATGGTATTGTACGATGTATGTACCACGTTGTATGATGCATGCTGAGATATGGTGTATGGAACATGTTGTCTGATGTATTATGTTGCATGGTGGATGCATCAGGTTGTATGACTACTCCTACTACTACTACCAATACTACGACTACGACTACGACTACGACGACTACGACTACTACTACTACTACTACTACTACTACTACTACTACTACTACTCCTACTACGACCACTACTACTCAACATCATCCTCTGCATTGTCGTCGCCATCGTCAACGTCGTCACCA